TTAATTACAACATTTTCTCTACTACTACTACTTACGAACCCTTATTTATCATTTCGTCATTGAAGAGGCACTTCGTTTATAAGTTACTTTTTAATTTCTTGTTTAACTAATTTCAAGTTGCACCCCTCCATAATCCCTTTGTACAATCTTAATAATCATTATCAAAATTATAATCAACTTATTAGAACTTTGTCAAAGCTATCTCTCGCTGCAGAATTAAATTCTAGCTGCGAATACAATCTTGAAATGTCAGTTTTAAGATTCCAAATTAAATAGTACCTTCTTACTCAAAAAACTTTACTAAAGTTTAGAAAACTTCAAAATTTTAATAATAATCTGTTATAACTTTAGTTTTAAGAATTCTTGCATGATATCTTTTCTAGCTTCAGCCACATTAATGAAGAGTAGGTAGGTAGGTGTCGTGTAGATAGAACCTACCAACGTAGTGAAATTGATCATTGACCAATCGTGGTGGCTATATTACTTTACTAGCTGGTGCCCGCGAACTTCGTCTCGCCAAGGGATGCTTGTGTGCTAACAGGCCCTCCAGAGATGATAAAAGTTATCATCACTTATCTATCATCGATGTTGATCAAGACATTTGTGTGCAACCATTCTAAACATCAAAATACATCGCTAAGTTTTGAAGTGATAGATGCATGCACGATCTACGGCACATGAAACGGACGTTACGTTTGAGCCTACCATCGGTTCACACTACAGGTAGAATGACTTCTTTGCACCGCCTCACATAAGGTATGGTGGGGTCTGCTCTCCGTCCAAATTTTTCTGCGCCATGGTCTTCTGTTTGGGGTTGTCGAGTAGGTATACGCAACCGGATTAACAATACAATTAGTACAACTCCATTTTAAAATACCGAAATAAAATAAACAGAAATTAATTACTTACTATACACTAACGAAAAAAGTAATGCTTAATACTAATACTTTGCGAAATATGAATCACAAAAAAGGTACCACACAGACAGGTAGTCGTGACAATAATACTCACTAATTTAGCTCTACATATTTTAATCAATAAAGGGCGCTACACACCGGGCCCGTATGCGTGACGTGCACGTAGTCACGGCGTCACTACGCGCGTAGAGATGACGTTGTATCGTATGGGAGGCTACACACCGCGCTACGCGCGTGATTACGCCGTGGTTACGCGTAGGTACGCATGCGTATTCGGTGTGCGTATGAAGATTGTGTGATGTTAAAAGTTTCAATTTACCGATCAACATAAGAGTCTTTTTATCAGCCCTTACCTCACGTTCACAAAATTGTTGAGACGATGAAAAATGAAACATAAAATTAGCTAACTGTATATTTGAGCAAAGAGAAAATAAAAAATTCAATATGATCGGTCGACTGAGCGATTAAATAAAAAACGACAGTTCGCATTTTTTGGTTTTCAATGGAGTGCGACGACGACTTTATTACATTTCAAGAGGTTTGGAACGTCTTAATATAAAAATGTTTTTACCTAGCTTATCAGACTTTCAACAGCAGGGAAAATCCTGACCTTTCAAAATTCGCTGTTAAGGAAAACACTACAGAGTGCCACTATAGCTGATTCTTTGTGACGATAGCGTATCAAAACTGAGTCAAGTAGGTAAGTAGGTACATTGTTAGATAATAATCCGTTGAGCATCAAGTGTTCGCAGTACGTGCCGAGATTTGATCCGCAACCATCCGAAAATTTAGCTGAATCATGGAGGAAAAATCCTTACCTACTAGGAGTATCAATTCTGAACTAAAAAGAACTCAGTTTTACTACGCCATCTGTAAACAAGTGATTCTTCAAATAACTGGTTTTGGGTTATTATTGAAACTGAATAAATAACTACTAGAGATCATTTTGGTTAGGTTTTTTTTTTAAATCAGCTACAGTTTATTTACCATTAGCTCATGTTTACTTGCGCCCGGATGATAAAGTGGCCCGTAGGATAAAAGGATTTTTTTGAGTTAGGTACGCTTTTTGGTCCAGGATTGACTCTCCGTAGTATACTTCCTCCATGGCAGAATATAATAATGTGGAGCTCTGAAATAACACGGGAGCAAACCGCTAGACCGAAGAACGTACTTGTGCAAATAGGTGAGTACACTTCACGTAGCACAAGGCGAAACTTGAGCGCTAACTGGAACTAAGATAATGTTTATCTACATTTAGAACTGCCGTGTGATGCCGGCTTAGAATAGCATCACCCCATTTCTTTCCTGTGGGTGTCGTAAGAAGCGACTAAAGGACTCGAGGGTGTCATGTGTATTGCAATTTTAGGCGACAGGCTGACAACCTGTCACTATAGCGATACACGACAATAGCTAAAACGGCCCTCAAATATGTGTCAGACGTGGCGATAACGACCGTACTATTACGGCCGTTGACGCTCTGCCTACCCCGCAAGGGATAAAGGCGTGATATATGTATGTATGTACATTTAGAACGGGATACGGGCGAATATCACACAACTTCGGCTCCTGTGCTCTAGTTTAAAGTTCAATAACGTGGTTTTGGATTAGAGTAGGTACGTGTTTCAAGGAACCTATAGAATACTGTTACGTAAGACAGAGTTCTTGAAGTATTGGTACACTACACCATAGTAGGTAAGGCCTGTCGCCTAAAATTGCAATACACATCAACTCTCAAATCTCTTAGTCGCCCCTTACGACACACATGGGAAAGATATGAGGTCTCAGCCGTCAACATACGGCAACGGTTGTTTTTATTTAATAACAGTAAAAAATGAGCGAATATTAGATATTGCCGTCGTGCAAATCGTATCTAAAATAAAAGTGGCCAAATTGGAATGTAGAATAGGTAGATAACTTTTTAGAAGTGTTCAATTTCTTCGTTCGTATTATTGCACTATTTGCAATATCGAGTGCGCGAGAATATGCTCTTCGTGTGTGTACAGTCCAGCACAGGGTCAGCTTTTGCCCCTAGCTTTAAAATGTGAGCTTTGATAATTTTTGCAAGATTTTCCAAATTTTTAAACCTTACACGGGAAGTGTTTTAGAAAAGGTATTCAGCTTTGATTATTTTGCTTTAACAAGAGAAAGCTACTAAAAGTTAAAAATTGTTGAAAGGAGGATTAATCGCAAAGAAACTGTAAATGAAACAATACGAGTAGATTTATAAATGGTACCTAGGTACTCAATGGACACCATGGATAAAAAATTGCTTTGTTCGTAGGACAAGTTTCTCTCTTAATTTTTTCTAAATTCTTTTGTTACAATACATACATTTATCACGTCTATATCTCTTGTGGGGTAGCCCTGTCAATTTTGTTACAATACATACATTTATCACGTCTATATCTCTTGTGGGGTAGCCCTGTCAAAAGTTTGAGAGTCATTCAGAAGTCTGTTTATCTGGCAAATTGGAAAAATATGTATGTAATAGAGCTCTCATTATCTCATTATCCCTTGAGGGTACAACTTGGCCTGTGTTTGAGTGTACAGAAAGCCCGTGGAAATACCAAATGATAGCGCTGTGTATATTGCTATCGGGTTTATATTGGAATTCCTTTGCTTCGCTACAAGACAATAAGCTGCACAAGTGAGACATAACTATAACGTCTTAATTAAGACTCAATTACACGCACCTGATGTTAATGAAAACAAAACTATTCAACTTTGATAACTTGTTCTACTCGTAGCAGTCACTTTAATACAGGGTACAATGTAGGTATAGTATATGTCCTCATCATCTGCCCCCCAAATAAGTTGGGGTCGGCGCAACATGCTTTTAAGTACTAAAGTAGCGAAAGGATTTGGCAATGACTTATGACCGGCCGCCTGCCTGACGTCAACCCCCTTTGGAAATGTATTTGTAGGTGATATCACCACCACCATGCGGCTGACCATAGTTGACAGATATTTCGCCGAGGTCAAAAACTCTTCGTAGCCTTTTACGAAACACCCTGAGTGGACTATAGTCCTGCAAGTTCGTGCGCGACCCTCCCTAGGGGTGACAGACGTTGGGAGGGGAGATGTCAGCGGGTAGCGGGAGGTGTAGCGGGGAAGGGAAACGCGCGCATCCGCGCCGCACGTCATATTAAAATGACGTGCTTACTCGCCCCCCAACCGTCTGTACCCCGCAGGAAGGTCGCGCACGAACCTGACGGACTATAGGGGTGGCAGTACTATTCACGGCATGTGTAAAAGTGTCATACAAAAATTACATCGGCGGCGGAGTGTAAAGTTTAAACATCTGATAAGTACGGACCTAATTTAATTTCACATGGGCATATTTAATTCAATTTCACTTGGGCATTCTTAAAATCCTTTTTCACCAACTTTTCCCCGACGTAGCGGAAGTTTATTTTTATTCCTTGAGGACGGAAAGCACGTAATGAATAAGCACGCGATTAACGTTCACAAAAGATCCCTGGAACAAAGGTCAGACGATCCATTGTGGGGGTGTGAAAGGATTTTACCCGTTTTTTTAAAGATGCGGTGTTTTTTAACATTTTATCCCGTGGAATATTTTGTTTAAATACTTTTGGTGAATCGCATTTCTTATATTAAAAAAACCGAATTTGGTAAAACAACGGAAATTCATGCAGAGGGTGAGAATCCACCAGAGCTGTGGATTCTATGTAGTAAGTTCTAAAAAAGACTTTCTACAGATGTCGCTGGATCGTCGCTTGGAGACGAGCATCAAGAGATAGAAAATTTGGCGTTCATCGGCCGTGCATCGATAGCTCAGTGCCAGAGCGGTGGGGCGTTTACCCATGCGGCCCGGGTTCGATCCCCGGTCGATGTATGTCATTTTTTCTATTTCTTATTTTCACTTGTGAGAATAATATAGCACTGTGAGTGCATTACAATCCCAATAGATTGATTAAGCAAGCTTCATCATATGGTTTGAATTCCACTCATAATGTGGACTAACCATGTAGTAAGTTCTAAAAAAGACTTTCTACAGATGTCGCTGGATCGTCGCTTGGAGACGAGCATCAAGAGATAGAAAATTTGGCGTTCATCGGCCGTGCATCGATAGCTCAGTGGCAGAGCGGTGGGGCGTTTACCCATGCGGCCCGGGTTCGATCCACGGTCGATGTATGTCATTTTTTCTATTTCTTATTTTCACTTGTGAGAATAATATAGCACTGTGAGTGCATTACAATCCCAATAGATTGATTAAGCAAGCTTCATCATATGGTTTGAATTCCACTCATAATGTGGACTAACCATGTAGTAAGTTCTAAAAAAGACTTTCTACAGATGTCGCTGGATCGTCGCTTGGAGACGAGCATCAAGAGATAGAAAATTTGGCGTTCATCGGCCGTGCATCGATAGCTCAGTGGCAGAGCGGTGGGGCGTTTACCCATGCGGCCCGGGTTCGATCCCCGGTCGATGTATGTCATTTTTTCTATTTCTTATTTTCACTTGTGAGAATAATATAGCACTGTGAGTGCATTACAATCCCAATAGAGAGCTGTGCGAGTAAAATGTGTCGTACGAGGATGCGTAGCTGTGCTGTGGAAATGTGTAGGGGTTTCCACCAGAGCTGTGCGAGTAAAATGTGTCGTACGAGGATGTGTAGCGGAGCTGTCAAAATGCGCATTAATGTGCGGAGCGAGGATGCGTTGCGAAGCTGTGAAATGTGTGAGCGGGGGGAATGCGATGTAGTGGAAACCTCGCAACACATTTCTCGCAACGCATTCCTCGCAACGCATTCCTCGCAACGCATTCCTCGCTACACATTCCTCGCAACACATTCCTCGCACACATTCCTCGCTTGTTTTGTATGTAGAATGGCCTCGCTTCGCTCAACCCTATTCCACCAGAGCTGAGCTGAGCGAGGCTAGGAAAATGAAGTGATTCTATTGGTGGATTTTTTCCTCGCTCACCGCCTCGCTACCTCGCACAGCTCTGGTGGATTCTCACCCTAAACTAGACATATCTCTGCGATGGTATAACGAGAAGTTTTACAACAATTCATACTAAGTAATATCATAAGAGCAGTTGGTGTAACTAAAACAATTATTAAAAGGCCTCAACTACCCTGGTAGTAACAGTGTTTGTGTTTTGAATCGAACTATCGTCACTTATAGTTAAAGGAACCTAGTTCAAATATAATGAAAAATATAACAATAGTGAATAAAGGTACTAGAAGCTATAAGATACTTACTAGGACATCAAAATTTGATCGGATTGGTGACAGAAATCTTGGTACAAATAAATCTGAAAGTCAATTTTATTATTTTCTATCTACCCTACCTCTCTACGTTTTTAAATAAAACTGGCTCTGTCGGTGAGGAAAGTATAAGCCAGTTGTGACCAACAGCCACCGGTGGACTGCATTCACCGACCCTGAATAATTCATCGCGACTGGCGCGACCTTGCCTGTCTACTGCAGGTTTCATACAGAATAGGTGCAACTTTAGGTATTATATCCTAGCTAGAGGTTGTACTGTCGGTGAGGAAACTATAAGCAACGAATACTAAATATAGCAATATAAGTCAGTTGTAACCATTAGCCACCGGCGGTCTGCATTCACCGACCCTGAATAATTCATCGCGACTGGCGCGACCTTGCCTGTCTACTGCAGGCTTCATACAGAATATGTCGAGCTACAAGCTGCAACTGAAGGAGTATCTTAAATAGAGCTGGGATTGTCGGTGAGGAAAGTTTAAGCCAGTTGTGATGTGACCAACAGCCACCGGCGGACTGCATTCACCGACCCTGAATAATTCATCGCGACTGGCGCGACCTTGCCTGTCTACTGCAGGTTTCATACTGAACAGGTTTAACTTTAGGTATATCTTAACTAGAGGTAGTATTGTCGGCGAAGAAACTATAAGTAAGGAATACTAAATAAGTATAAACATACAAGTCAGATGTGACCGACCATTAGCCACCTGCGGACTGCATTCAGTGACCCTGAGTAAGCGATTGGCGCGACTTTGCCAGTCTTGTAACTGCAAGTTTCATACAGAAAATATCGAGCTGCAACTGAAGGCATATTTAAAGAAGCTGGCATTGTTGGTGAGGAAAGTTTAAGCCACCAACGGGGTGTATTCAACGACCGTGGATAATTTCATCGCGACTGGCGCGACCTAGCCAGTCTGATGCAGGTTTCATACAAAATTTGTCGAGCTGCAACTGAATAGAACTGGGATTGTCGGTGAGGAAAGTATAAGCCAGTTGTGACCAACAGCCGCCAGCAGGGTGCATTCAACGACCGTGAATAAATTCATCGCGACTGGCGAGATTCCCTGTCTGATGCAGGCTTCATACAAAATAGGTCAAGCTGCAATTGGAGACAGCGTTATTGACATTTATAATAGTAAACGCCCAATCATCGTGGAAGGACAGGCTCAGACATAAGTACTTGATCCCGTCTCGTAGACACGCATAAACCCGTTTAAAATTAGTTGGCATACAAGCTAGCATTTACACAAGAAAAATATCCAGTTCTATCAGTCGTAACTGTCCTTATAACTGAGTGATCAACAGTATTCTAGTTTTTATTAGGTTATTTTGGTTGGTAGGTACAATATGACCTACATTATTCAGGATTATTCTCTAAGTAAAATCCCCGCAGTACCTTTCTGTACCTAATGATGAAATCCTAGATCTCTGGGTCGATTCTGCCCGTCTCGGTAGGGGCAGATGATAAATTATTTACCAGGCGGCCGGTCTGCCACCGTCATGAGAAATTCACAAACATACTTTTTGTGGCCTTTTCCAATCCGTTTTCCCTTTGTTTTTAAGCTGAGGAATGAGATTTCTTGGTTGGGTCCCAAAATAGGTGCTTTAAGGAGTGGTCTGATCTGTCGCTTATTGGAGTGAATAAGCTTTTGACTAGTTTACTATTTGTTCTGTGCTGTGCCTATCGTATGCTATTTCCGGATATGATATGTCCGTACTACGGATGCTAAACACAGCCTCCTGTCCGTTCCCACGTTACAATCTCGTTCCCAATTCTGAACCATCGCTATCCAATTTTATTGACTATTGTGCTATTGTTCCCTTTATTTATGATGCCGTGAATTGTGTTTTGATCGGGCCATGGCAAAGGGTCTGTCTCTAGTAATTGGGCTAATAAATCAGATCTCTTTATGTTACTCCATCGTTGTGAGGTTGTCGTAGGCTGAGTTATGGTTTTATTGGAATTTCAGTAATTTGAAGGGTGAGGCGGTTCTCACACCTACCGTATGTTTTCCAGTGTTTTGCTGGATCCAATTTCAAAAGATATTGAAATTACAAAGTCCTAAAGGTAACGGCTCGCCTATGGTGTAATAGTGCGACGACAAAATCAGAGACGAGTTTCGTCTTTCAATTAGGTAGGTATAATTTCTAAATAACGCTATTTTACAGTTTGCACCACATTGAAAATTTGATATTTGCATGAGTGCTTCTGATTCGAATGAATGTGTGTTCTATTGATAGATAAACTAATGCCCGCATCCACAGGTTCAGATCCCTCGCTCCAGTAATTAGATTAGTTAGCGAGTCTGCAGTTGACCGCTAGCGAAGCGATTGTCTAACAAACTTCATGCTTTGATAAACATTTTCAACGTGTCAAGAAGAGCTCTACTAAATATACGGGGTGCTAGGGACGGTGTAACGAAAACTTTGCAGGCGTGCTCAGACCATGAAACTGAACAACATTTACTATGGAGCCAATGGTGGGAAACGAAAAAACAATTCCGACCTCCCATACAAAGGGAGATCGGAAATTTATTTTCGTTTCCCAACACTGGCTCCATAGTAAAAGTTGTTCAATTTGAGGGTCTAATCATGCCTGCAAAGTTTTCGGTACACCGTCCCTGTACTAGCAGATGCCAGTACATTGTATTTAATAGACGGTCTTGATGTTGGTAAGCTTTATTACAGCACATAAAGGATAAAATAACAAATCACATTCTTTCTTATTATAAACCAAAATTGTAACTTTTCCTTGTCTCTAAGAGAAAAAACGGTTTCCAAGGAAGTAACAAAACTGTGTTTTGTTCTGCCTTGAGTTATGGATCGCAGACCATGAAGGTTGCCTTCATCCTGCCCCCTCCTCTTCGATCTGGAGAGGGCATAGCTGAGAGACGGCCCGTGTGATAGGACCCTTTCTTGTTTTGACCTCCACCACACGAACTACCCCATCTGGGCCGGGGAATAATTTGATAATCCGTCCAAGAGGCCAGCTCATCACAGGCAGCTGACCATCCTTAATAATGACCAGATCGCCAACTTTGACATTTGCTCTATTGATCCGCCACCTGCCTCGCTGCTGTAAATTACTGAGGTATTCTTTTGTCCAGCGAGTCCAGAAACTGTGCCGCAGGCGCTCCAGCAGCTCGTACCGGCTGATTGCGGTTTTCTTCTCGATTGGTGCCGGTGACGGTAATGTAGTTAGAGGCCGCCCGATCAGGAAGTGCCCCGGAGTAAGTGGACGTAAGTCTGATGGATCAGCTGACATCGAAGTCAGCGGTCGTGAGTTCATAACAGCCTCAATTTGCGCGAACGCTGTAGTTAACTCCTCAAACGTTAGACTGGTATTTCCTAAAATACGTTTCAGGTGGAACTTGGCAGCCTTCACACCGGCCTCCCAAATCCCGCCAAAATTAGGGGCATACGCGGGGTTGAATTTAAACTCAAAACTCTCACTGCACGCGAACTCATGAACGTCTCGGTTGCTGGCTCGCAAAAGCCTCCCTAATTCGTTCATTGCACCCACAAAGTTTTTACCGTTGTCGCAATATATGATGCGTGGCTTACCGCGCCTGGCAATAAAACGTCTGAGAGTAAGTATGAAGGCTTGAGTGGTTAAATCACTTACGACCTCAAGATGCACAGCCTTAACAGCCATGCAAACGAAAATACATAAATAACATTTTGACTGTCGACTGCCGCGACCCTTTCTGCTTGAAATAAGAAACGGCCCAGCAAAATCCGTACCAACATGCTCGAATACTGGAGCAGGGTTCACCCTCGAACTTGGTAATACTCCCATTATCGGCTGCTTTGATGCTGCAGCTAGACGCTGGCAGCGCACGCACTTATTAACCGTGGATCTAGCTAAAACCCTACCTCCTGTTGGCCAAAAGTGATCACGAAT